TTAACTAATAAAAAATTTTCAGATGAAAATTTAATTTCTCGAAATTTCATGAAACTAAGTCGGGGGCATCATATGTAAAAACATATTTTTACCAAGCTTTTCTAAAGAAAATTTCAAAAATAATTTCATTAATTTTTGAATAAATCCTGAAAGTTTCATTAAAATCCAACAATTATTTGATTCTTGCAAGAATTTCCAAATCAATGTATTTTTCACCGGAAACAAGATATTTAACCAAAATTTTGAACGTGCTAGAAAGGATAAAAAAATTTAATAAACTAATTAAAATACTTTGGACTTTCTTTTAATAATAACAAACATTTTGAAAATAAAACTTTGTTTTCATTAAGTTAAGTTTGGGGCTTTTTTTTTTTTTTTTTCGTCATGTCTATGCTGGCTTTTCAGCGAAAATGTGAAGGTACCCAATTAAATTTAATATATTCTCAATAAATATATTTGGTATATTTCTTACCGAGCTTAAATCAATTGGTGTCATTTTTTTTCTGCTTATCAGTAAAATCTACGAATTCATGAAGATTGACAAATCTCTCAATAAAACAATTCTTTTTAATATACGAACGTTTAAAAATAATATACATTTCTGAAACGCTATTTGAGAAACAGCTTTAAAGTTTAATTCAATTGAATTGAAATAAATATTACTTTTAGTTTAAAATATCGCAGAAAATAGTCTCTTTAAGACGAAGAGGATGCTTTTTAGTCTGATGTTTGGGAAATTTAAATAAGTGGCACATAAAAAAAATTATATAAAGAAGGCGTTCACGTTGTATTCTTCATGTATTTTTATTTCTATTAACTATCCAGTAATCTTAAATATAAAACATTCTAATATATGTCTATATTTCTGAGATGAGGTATTGTAATTACACTATTTACATTGTTCGGACTGTTGTCCTCATCTTTTTTGCTATATTCACGACGTTTCGGCGGTTGAACGCTCCGGCCTTCTTCAGGTGATTACAATTTCGAACCGAACCCTTTATTTCGCTCACCGAGGTAGATTTTTCTAGTTCCACGTGCTATGCCTCTCCCGGATATCTCAATATCAGTTATTTCCCTCTTAACTCAACTCCTCCAGTTGATAAGCGCGTTGGTTGAAGTATCCCAGTGACTTGACCCAAATAATTGGGAGTACAATACCTGGCCATAGCAAAAGTGGATAAAAACTGTCATATAGGAGGATTAATATTACATATCAGTTCAGTACTCTTTTATTTGTTTCTAATGAAATTTCATGTCACTTAATACTTTGCTTAGCTTTTTGGAGATACCTTTCGTTATTCTAATGAGCTTTTGTATTTCTATTACATTTTCCGTCATCTGTTATAATATTTTCCACGCATTTATAAAGAAGAATCTGCAATATTATTGGCCCTGATCTGACATCTTGGCTAAAGTTATTTTCCCATCGCCGTAATGTAGCTTCCCTCTGTCTTTTCTATAAACACTTTCATAGCAACTGTTCTGGTGATCTTCCCTCTATGATATTTAAACTTTCTTGAATTTAAGCGCAATACAAGATTGACGACAAGGCCTTATCATTTTGCAGTTGAAATGAATAGATGTAACCGTAAGTTTTATGCTAACAGTTTTTTCTCTTGCACTTCTCGCTTGGGAATTCTCGTCCAACTTCTTGCTTTCCAGTCAACTTTGATCTTCAAAAATTTAAGTACAATGCCTCGTCCTGGGTATGACAATAAACTACATCCAGCAGCAAGGCTTCTGATCGGCAGGTTTTAAGGAACATGGAACTACCTCTTAATTACTTTTGTTCCCAGGTCTATCCTGACCCAGGGTCGTCGCATCTATTAGGGTTCCAGCTATGGGCAAATAATGAACACCTAAACTGGTGTCAAAACACTATGAAAGTTTAGATATATATTTTTATAGTGAAAATGCCAGCAATACAATTTTATTAAAAAACAAAATAATACCAACAATACATTTTGTAAAAAATTACTAATGCCCTCAAGAAAATTTAATTTCGATATTAAATGACCCATAAGGAGTTGATGTGCCGTTAAACAAAATAAAAATACAATGTCATGTTCTTTTATTGTTCTCGGTTCTTTAATATTTTTTTTCTCGGATTCTTTGTAACCCTTTGCGTCTTAGCGACTTTATTGCCTTGCCTCATGTAAAATGCCTTTGTTTGATTCTAATGTTCATCAATTCGTAGCTCTCTTGGCCTCTCTTTTGCTAACGAACATACATTTCGTTTTTTTTTTAAATTGATGGTAAGTTCTTTCTTCTCGCTTTTCCTTAACTGCCATGTCTAGATATTCCTGCAGATTTATTTGTATGTCTGCCACCAACAATAGCATTTTCTTATCATATGTTAAGATTTTGTTTATCATTCAGTTATGTGCCATACGTGATACACGCGTAAGCGATCATGTATCTTTCGATAGGTTGCCATTTCTTTCTTCGGTAGACTAGTTGCAATCCAAGGCTATAGAACCTGATCTATCCTGCTATTTTCCCATAGCTTGGGGGAGAAGAGGATTCATACCTTTCCCAAGGGTATTAGCACGTAAATGAATGTAATGGATTCGACTGGGATTCGAACTTGGCTCTCCGATTCCTCAATCCGAGCCACTAACCATTACTCCACCGTGTTTATCATTAATGAATCTCAAAAGGAAATGTGACTCGTCCATTCAGGACATGGCTGATCATGACCCTCCAAAACTTCCTGGTGGTCTTTAGCAGCGTTCTACCTTTGTCAAGGCTACCGCCTGTTAGCCCAGGTCTGACGATAAACAACATCCGACAGTAAAGCCTCTGATCGAAGATTGGAGGTTTGAAGAGCGTGAAACCACATCTTAATTGCCGTTGTTCCCAGGTCTACCCTGACCTGAGGTGATAGCACCAGTTAGGGTCCCAGCTTTGGGCAAATAGCGTACCCCCAAACAAAACACTACGAAAGTATAAAATAACTTTTTATAGTAAAAAAAACAACTAGCAATACATTTTTGCCTAAAAAAAAAAAACTTTAAAAAAATTAGCAACAATACCTATTTATAGTAAGAATTAGCAATAATACATTTTATCTGTAGTTGAAGGCAGGCAATTGTTAAAAATATTTAGATTTCAGCATTAAATAACCCATAGAGTTGTTGATATGCCGCTAAGCAAAATCAACCAACCAAACCGCCTCCGTTCCATCATACTTTCATACAAGCTCGTCAGGTAGGTGTTCGCTGCCCTCCCCTATCTGTCTTACCAGTAATACTTCCTGTGAGGGTTAAGTTTACCGAGCACTCCTTCCTCATATGTTTAATGAATTTCAGCTGTCCCTTCTTGATTAGGAACACTAATATTCTTTCTGGTGCCATTTTCTTTAAGACTTGCTCGTCACTTACTCGCTCCGTCCATGAAATTCTCAGTATCCTTCTGTAGAACTACATTTCTATTGCCTACTCTTTTCCCTCCTCCATGGGGAGATCGTCCAGCATTTACTACCATATAAGAGGATGAATGTCAAATTTCAATCCAGCACATCTTTTCTTTGTTTACAACGATTTTTTTTCTGCTTCTCAGCACTTTGCTTAGCTTTTTGAAAGCATCTTTCGCTAGTCCAATGCGTGTTCTCGGCGTCGCACTTTCCAACCTCTGTTAAAACTTCCCAGATATATAAACTTCTGCACCTGCTTGATGACGATATCCCCAATTCGTAACTCGCAACTTAGAAAAAAGAGAGAATGGTCATCATCAAGAGAAAAAGTCTATTTTCTTCTATTCTGTCTAGGTCTTGTAGTTTTCTTTGCATGCCAGACATCAACACAGTGTCATCTGCGTACTTTATAGTCAAGATTACCCAAGACCGGATAACAAATACTGGTAAAACCTCCGGCTCCCTTAGGATAGCCTCGTTGTAGAGGTTGTATAAATCTAGTGAGAAGACACATCTTTGTCTTGGACACCTTTCTATTTTTGTATATTTACTGATTTCAGTTTTCTATGCGTATGCAGATGGTGAACTGCCAGTATAGGTTGTGAGTTATTCTAACATTCTTTCCAACCAAATCTATTTTTTCTAGAAGTTCAAAAAAAAAAAAAATCGTGGGAAAAAAACTTATTCAATGTCGAAATAAAATGGATAACTCTCCAAAGGAAATGAGAAGCTATCTTGGTTAGGGTCTCTGCCACTCCTGAGTCATTCACGTGAACAATCATAATGGAACGGTGACATAAGTGTCATATGACACTGACGATTCATCGCCTGAATTTACACACACCCCCTCACACATAAACACACCGTTTTAGCGATTTTTTCCCTACCAAAATGGTAACGCAACTTGCTTCCTTCGTTCTTCATTTTTTGTTGTTGTGGCTGTTCTCTATTTTTTTTTCTTTATCTCCCGTTTTTCTTTTTTCTTTTCCTCTTTCATTCTCTTTTTCTTCTCTTCGCCCCTTTTTCTCTCTTTTTTGTTTTTCTCTTTTCTTTTCCTCTTTCATTCTCTTTTTCTTCTCTTCGCCCCTTTTTCTCTCTTTTTTGTTTTTCTCTTTTCTTTTCCTCTTTCATTCTCTTTTTCTTCTCTTCGCCCTTTTTCTCTTTTTTTTTTTCTTTTCTTTTCCTCTTTCATTCTCTTTTTCTTCTCTTCGCCCCTTTTTCTCTCTTTTTTGTTTTTCTTTTTTCTTTTCCTCTTTAAAGAAAAAAGAGAGAAAAAGAGAGAAAAAGAGAATGTTTTTCTTTTTTCTTTTCCCCTTTCGTTCTCTTTTCCTTCTCTTCACCCCTTTTTCTCTTTTTTTCTTTTCTCTTTTTCTCTTTAAGAGAAAGAAAAAAGGGAGAAAAGGGGCGTAGAGAAGAAAAAGAGAATGAAAGAGGAAAAGAAAAAAGAAAAACATTCTTTTTTTCTTCTCTTCTCCCCTTTTCTCTATTTTTTCTTTATTTCTGTTTCTTTTTTCTTTTCCTCTTTCATTCTCTTTTTCTTCTCTTCTCCCCACCCTCTCTCTCTCTCTCTCTCTCCCCAGTCTTACACTGAAACACCGGTTCCCATATGATCACCGAAGTTAAGCAACGTCGAGCCTGGTCATTACCTAGGTGGGTAACCGCTAGGGAATACCAGGTGATGTAAACTTGGATGTTCTGGTGGTGTAATGTATAATGGCTTCGGAATTGGAAATCGAAGAGCCGAGTTCCAGTTTCAATTCGTTATATTCACTTAGGCATAAATACCCTTGGGAAAGATAAGAAGCCACCCCACTTCTCTCCTAGATATGAATTAATTAGTAAGATTAGTATCACTAAAACTTTACTATTTCTAAAAAATTCTTAAAATCTAAAAATATTTTCTGGCTTTAAATAACCTTCAAAGGGTTGATAAGCCGTAAAAAACGAATCAATTCACATTTTTTTCTTTTCCATGTTCCTTCAGGATGTGGGCGATCATGGCTCCTCTTCACAATTTCCTGTCTTTTATAGCTCTGAGTAAAATATTCCCTTTTGCTATCTCTAATCCCTGTTCTTCCAATCAATTACACAAACTCATTAAGTAGGTTATGCGCGGTTTCCCCCTTTTCCCTTCAATATGTCCTGTGAGTGTCAAATTTTCCAAGCCCTCTTTCTTCATTATGCCCTAGAAGATTCAACTGTCGCGTTCAGATGCTAAGTGTGTCTTTTTTGTTTCCATTTTCCCTTAAATTTCATCGTTGCTCACATATTCAGTCCATGGTATTCCCAGTGTCCTTGTGCAGAATCACATGCCTCAAGTCTCTTCTTCTTCTGTGAGGAGATTGCCCAGCATCCACTGCCATATACGGTTTCCTATTTTTATAGTCCAATGAATCTTGAGTTAATGATTGAATGAGCTTATAGTGAGTTCTACGACAATAAAATATCTGTAGAAGTTCAACTATTTCATCATTAAATATTTGATTTAAATAAATATTGCAATAACAATTATTAATATGAATGCTGGTCATTATTTTAAGGGTTTATAAATGAAAAGGTTTGAAATTGATAACTTTTCTATTTCACTGAAACAACAATTAAACACTTGTCCCATTTCTGTGTTCTCCGAAGTCTTTGTCCAGCATTCACTGCTATATAGGAGGACTCATATTACATTACAGTTCAGTACTCTTTTCTTTGTTTCTGTTTCTTCAAGTCTCTTCTTCATCTGTGAGGAGATTCCCCAGCATTCACTGCCATATAGGAGGACTGATATTACATAACGGTTTAGTTCTCTTTTCTTTGTTTTCTAACGAAATTTCCTGTTTCTTTCCTTAGCTTCTAGAAGGCATCTTTCGCTATCCCTATGTGTCTTCGGAGTTTTATATCGCGCATTTCTTTTATCCCCCAAGCTATGTACGAGCGTTTGCTGAAAAGTTCTCGGCTCTACCCACTCACCCCAGACACCCCACACACACACACACACCAAAAAAAATTTCATCAAATGACCAAACAGAATATATTTTGAAAAAGGAATCTTGGCCAAGGCTTTTCGTGGTGACCTTCGCTGTTCTGGCAGATAGCAGAGTAAGGTATCTCGACTTTGCTTGGGGCTGAATAAATTGCGGAATGTGAAGGTGACAGTCATACCAGTTGTTATCGGAACACAGACAGCAGTCTTGAAGATCCTACGAAAAAAGGCGAAAGGACCTAGCAATTTGGGAGGAATGAGAACACCTGGACGATAGTGTTGCTAAAATAAGCTAGAATACCGAGGAGAGTCCTGGTGTAGTGGAGACAGTTGTTGTTAGTTTAGCAGTAACTGAAACTGGAAATCAAATGAGTAGACAATATAGTTTCATAAGAAAACCGCCATTTTGTAACAGGATCTTTCCGTCCATACAGAAATATGCATACTAATTTTGATTCACGTGATAATATGAATGATCGGGTATGTGATAAAAAATGTGGATCTTATACTTAATAATTGAAGAACTGGTGAAAATGCTTCATTAATCCATATTAATATTTCTTTAGAACTGAGATCCTTTAATAATCCATCCTTTATTGGGGAAGGGATGGCGTTCATCCTTTATTGGGGGAGGGGAAAGCTGCCTTGGATCTGGACGGATTCAGATCGGTATGAACAAACACGGGCATACATATTTGCAGGTTTGGATAGATACGGATATGTATAGATAGATAGATAGATACGGATATGTATAGATAGATAGATAGATAGATACGGATATGTATAGATAGATAGATAGATAGATAGATAGATACGGATATGTATAGATATAGATAGATAGATAGATAGATAGATACGGATATGTATAGATAGATACGGATATGTATAGATAGATAGATAAATAGATACGGATATGTATAGATAGATAGATACGGATATGTATAGATAGATAGATAGATAGATAGATAGATAAATTGGCACGGACATAGATAGGTACAAAGTGATCGGCAGTCACGGGCAGATATACACGGCGAGGTACATAGATAGAAACAGATAGTGATGTTTTCGATAGAAAAATAGACACGGGCGAAGATAGGCATATAGACAGAGAGCAACACACACGGATAGGCACTGACATAGCTAGGTACATATACAGACACCATCCAGCTTAGATAGATACGGGTAGATATATATAGACAGACACGGGGAGAGAGCGATACACAAACACTAGCATAGTTAAGTACATAAACACCGAGAGATCGACAGACATTGACATATATAGTTACATAAATAGATACATGCATAGATAGACTCCGTCCAATTTAGATAGATAGATAGATAGATACGGTTAGAGATAGATAGATAGATACGGTTAGAGATAGATAGATAGATACGGTTAGAGATAGATAGATAGATAGATACAGTTAGAGATAGATAGATAGATAGATAGATAGATAGATTAGATAGATAGATAGATAGATAGATAGATAGATACGGTTAGAGATAGATAGATAGATAGATAGATAGATACGGTTAGAGATAGATAGATAGATAGATAGATAGATAGATACGGTTAGAGATAGATAGAGAGATAGATAGATAGATAGATACGATTAGATATAGTTAGAGATAGATAGATAGATAGATAGATACGGTTAGAGATAGATAGATACAAGCATAGTTAAGTACATAGTGTTTCTAGCCATCTATCTGTCTGAGAGATAGATCGACAGACACCGACATAAATAGTTACATAGACAGATGCATGCATAGATAGACTCCGTACGGTTTAGATAGACATGAATAAATTTATATATATATATATATATATATATATATATATATATAAACAAGCCCTAACCTTCAATGTCGATGTAATTAAGAAAAAGAAAAATTCTAATCAGATCGTTTCGCGGGCATTTCTATTTATAGCTAAGGAACGGCTGATTCTTGTGCAACTACTTATCAAGAAAGAAAAACATGGGATCGGCTCCTGTCCTTGAATTGTTTATCAATATTTATGATTGATGACTAGTCATTTACAACCCACTAGTACCTCCGCACCCATTTCATCTTTGCCAGGTGACGAACCCGTCACGAAACTAGGTCTTCTTATAAAAGATCTCAACCATTAAAACTTTCTGTTTGAATTTCTGCAATGGGGCGTTATCATTATTTACGTGCGGGCGCTTGGCTTCATCTTTCTTATTACAACGTTTCAGCTGTTTTGTCCTCTGGCTTTCATCAGGACCTTGTCGATCCAGGTACGTTTCAGTTTCGAAGTGGACCCGTTTATCTACAGGGGTAGATTGTTCTGGCCATGTCTGGTGGAGTGGGTATCACGTCCAGTCCTATGGTGCAATTAAAGCCCTGAGCCGGGAAATGTCTACTTGGAACCAGTAAAAACAGGGCAAACAATAAATGAACAGTACTAAACAAAAACAAGATGAGACCTGGGCAGTGGAACGAGAACAATCTACCCCAGAGATTAAATAAAGTGCTCATCGATATATATATATATATATATATATATATATATATATATATATATATATATATATATAACTCTTCACGTTGACACGAACGTCTCGGGCTGTTTTTCCTTAATAAAAACTTAAAAACCCGTTTATTTGGAACGTTTCGGAATCTATAAATAATTGGTATTAAAGATTATAATAGAGAAGCTACAAGACTGAAGTCTGTTCGGTGAAGTCGTAGAACAGACGAACAGAAATAATGTTTTCTTTTTGTTGTTCCATATTACTAAAGATAAAGCACCTTAGATCACCCATATAAAATTTTGTAATGGTTGATGGCGAGAGAGGAGTCCATTTTGCAATGTAACTTCATTGTAAATCCATACCCACACACGGAAAACAAAACAAATATGTTCATAAGCCGTAAAAATGTTAGAAATTTTGAAATTCG